TGTGAACGATAATAAAATTTGGGGACGAAGATATTTTAATATATTATCGTGAACGTGGTGCAACGCAGTGGAGGGATTTTTTCCCTCCCCCCTCTCCTTTATTCCATAATTTATATAAGTAGTATTTTTTCAAGATTTCTGACAAAAATTAATAATATAATTCCAACGAGGATATATATATATATAATTGGTTCCAAGAATCCAATCCAAGATGGTGGAAAACGAAAGAAAGGAAAAGGAGGGAGGGGAGGGGGAGAGAGAGAGGAAATAAATCGATCCCTTTTTTTTTTTAATTTTACAATGATATCTTTTATTATCATCCATTTCCATGTCTATCCTTATGATCGGTCTTACTTAATCCGTGGATTGAAAGGGTGGTCGAAAACGAAATAAGACGAAACAACTGAAATCGAAACAAAAATTCACCGATACGAATGTACACGCCTTCTTCCATTTCCTATTAACTCCTATCCTTTTTTTTTTTTTTATCATTTTTTTCCCACCGTTTTTGTGTAACTTATTAATCATTACATTCACAGAGTTCGAATAAACGTGTGTATGTACGTATGCGTGTGTATGTGTGTGTGATCCTCAAACGTCTATGCGCAATGATGTGTGTATGTACGATTATCGCAAGCTATGTACAAATAAGTCCTCGTGTGTGTATGTATGTTTATGTTTATGTTTATGTTTGTAAATCGCGGTTCCCTAAATGCCATTTTTTTTTTCTTTTTTAATTATTTCGTACAAACCAGATACGATGTAGTACTGTAGTACGTATTGTTAAATATATCTCTCGTCGAGTCGAGTCGAAGGTGAAAATCAACGTTTCCTTTTTTTTTTTTCTTTTTCTTTTTTTTTTTTCCATCACGCTAACTATCAATCCTCGTTAACCATTCTTTCAAACTCGCCTCCTCTATTTGGTTCGCTTAATTAATCGTTTGTAGAAGTTCTAGTTAGTCGAAATTGTAGTGGAAGGGGAAGGGTTGGAAGAGATGCAGGAAAATTTCAAAGACTTGTTCTCGAAAACGAGAAGAACGACCGTTTTTTTCGAGAAATCTTTTGGTCATTTTTTTCTTTTCAACGCTCTCGACTCTTCTCTTCTCTTCTCCCCCTCCCCCGTTAAGGTTAAATTAATCCTCGTATGTACACGCTTTAACATTTCCTCTAAGAATTATTGCTCGTCAATTACCTCGACCGCGTCACTTCTTCTTTCAAAAATCGTGTTTTCGTGGAATTGGACTGGAACGAATTCTTCAAAATCTCCCCTCTCAAAATCGGCGAAGCGATCGTTGGATTGACGGACGGAGACGATGTGTCGACGATTGCGACACGGTGAAATCACGATAATCATTATTAGCACCACCACCATTCTCCTTTCCCCTGAATGAACGAATAAACGAAAAGAGGCGAGGAGATAGAAACACCAACCACCCCCTTGCCCATCAGTACAACGCGTTGAGCAGGCACTGCTCGTCGCTCCAATCCAGCGATTGCTGCTGCCCCCCCTCCTGTCCCTCCAACTCTCTGGCTCAGCTGAGCTGATAGTACTCGGGCGCGAAGTCGTTGGCGAGGTTGGTGAGGAAGTTGAAGTCGGACGAGCTGTTGCTGTTGTCGGCCGAGGGCGGGGGTGGGGCGGCAGCGGCCGCGTGGTGGTGGACCGGCTCCGCGTAGAAGTTGCCGTACGAACTGCTGTTGTTGTTGTTGTTGCTGCTGCTATTACTATTATTGTTGTTGTTGTACGAGTCCCCAGTGTCGGTCTGCGCGCCGCCAGGTGGCGTAATGACGGCGGCGGTGG